CCCTTCCCTTCCCTTCCCTTCCCTTCCCCCGCCGGTGGGGCCAGCCCCTTCCTTCCGCCGCCGTTTGGGAATCGGGGTACCAGAAGTGCCGGGCGGTGGGGTGGCCGCCTGGCTGCGTGCCTGGCTGCGGGAGTTGGACCCTTCCTGCGGAAAGGGGCTGGTGTTCGTATTTCTTCCGTCATGTCGCAGTGTGGGTATGTAGTCTCTTCCCCCAGAGCGGAGACTCCAGCAAAGCCCTGACTGTTTTCAGTGCATGTTTAGTTGGCTGTTGTACTGAGGCACGTGTTTTGCCATCTCTTTAATAGGCAGTTGAAATCTCTGAGCAGACTATGTTGAGTTGAGTTCTATTTTCCCTCCTCTAAGAGAGCATCATGCAGGCTTCCTCAGAGATGAATGGAAGCTGAAAAAAAAATGAAAAAAAAAAAGAAACAAATTGTGAACCTTCACTTCTCAGCAGATTGTCTGGAGTCACTGGTACATTTAGAAAAGCCTCTGTCCTAAGTGATGGTCTTTTCCATGAGTCATTCGCATGCTGAGCTCTGCCTCTCTTCAGCTGTTTAGATGTGATGTCTTAAGACACTGATTTAGGCTACTTGATTCTACGCATATGATTTAAAAGAAGAGGCATTTTGGTGAAGATTTGGCTACGTGTTCTGTCTTCTCATCCACCAACTAGTCTGTGCAAGATTTGTTCTTCCATCGAACTGTTCTCTTGCAGATCAATTAGTCCATCCGTACAAGGTCTTCCAGGACCTACAACCCCTGTGTTTGTGTTCATGGACCTACTTATCTAAAAGACCAAGGATGCTGAGTTCAGTTAGTGTCCGTTGCTCCATTACAGGTACCCAGGAAACAGGCAGGACTTGCTGTAGCAGGTAGAGGTCGTGCATTGCCCTTCTCTGAAAACAAACAAGGCTGAACTAAGGATGGTTACCGATACTGGCTCCATGGACAAAACTCCCCTGGAGTTCAGCAGAGATAAGCCCATGAGCACAAAGGGTTGGTTCAATGTGTCATGTGAGGTACTGGAATACACTGCAGTGGGTGGTGGGAAATACAATTGGATAGTGAAGTCACTCAGCCTAAGCAAGATGGGAAAATTATTCTTACAGTGTAGCAAGAAGAAAAAAACTCAGAAAGAGCACGTGAGACTTATGAATATGCATCTATATATATTATTTGGGTATGTCAGACCTCTTGTTGAAAGTGGTCACTGAAAGTAAGCAGAAACAACTGTCTCTATTTTGACTGTAAACACTTTACAGCAGGTAATTTTCAAAGGGTTTCACAGGCATGTTCAACAGCGCAGTCCTAATCCGTTTAACTTTGGCCATTAAGTAACAGCGATTACAGTTTCCCTCTGTACTTCCCTCTGGGCACATTCAAAACCAACTGAAGATAAAAATACCTTTGTGGAGCTCTTGCTTTTCTGACATCCTTACCGTTCCTCTTGGCATGTTTCAGCTCCTCACCAAAGACGTGAAGCAGCGGCTAGGATGTCAAGGGGAAGGTGCAACAGAAGTGAAGAAGCACCCCTTTTTCGAGAGCATGAATTTCAAGCGCTGGATCCTCCCTTTGTCCCTGATGTAAGTACCATAGGAAGAAACCCCAGTGGCCTCTTTCGAGAGATTTGTTTCTAAAATAACTTCTCTCTCTTAGAGCTGTCGTCACTCTCTGCATGGGTAGCTGCCCTAGGAAGATGTGATAAGCGGTAGGGCTGGAGTGGGGAGGCTGGGAGGGAGAGGAGAGCCGCTCTATAGACGTGTGCGTGCAGCGTGGGAGGGTCCCCAGGTAGAGTGGTAACCTGGGGCTTGATTCATTCCCACTCACTTTGTCACAGTCTTCCTGTGCGACACCGGAGGTACCACTTGATCTGTTCATGCCTGTTCCCAAACTTTAAACTGTGAGCCTTTGTATTCCCTTATCCACGGTAGTAGCGTGAGAATAAGTACACTCAGGACCAGGTGGTGCTCAGAACAATCAGCAATGAAAGCTACATGTATGCAAACAGATAAATAGGTATATACACTGAGGTGAAACCAGAATTATGAAGTCCAAAGCTCCATGGGACTGAGGAATGGATTGGATCATCATGAAACATTCGTTCCAGAAGCTGAACCAGGTTCAGATATCAAGTGTCACCTCAAGCAGAGGAGGTGACTTGGACCTGAGAGAGCATTTTGAACTTGTTAGTATTCATGGGGCACAGAACCCAACACCGAGTCCTTACTCAGGTTTACACACCAGTCTTGCACATACTGAAAGTCTTTGTAGCGTTGGCAATAACAAAACTTTTTCCACCCTTTTGTGGTATCAGTCTCTACCCCAGTGCACAGAGTTATCTGATTATTTTCCTCCTGCAGGGCTCTCTTTTTGGCTAGACCTTCTATCCTTAAAGTTCCCATATGGTTCTAAGTAAACACTGCCATTTTAACGTATTAAGGAAAGTAACAGCTTGGCAGCTCTCGTTCACATTGCTGCAAACTCAACCAAACCAAAGTGGTTTGAACACTGCAAAAGTTTACTTTAGCTGCTCTGGTTTTGCTTTACATTTTACTATGCGGCCTAGTTATTCCTGCCAATTAGCCCGTGGTGTTACGACCTGCTTTAGTGGGAAGAAACAGGAGACAAGCTACTTTTTCTTTCTGATGTAGAAAATTAGAAAATTCTGGGCTCAAATTTGGGATCCGCCAGAGTGTATTAAAAGCTTAACTGTGGCATGTAAGGCCTAGAAGGCACCTCTTACAGACATATTTGCTAAAGCAGAGGCACATAAATTTTTATGGCTATTTATCGAGAACTCAAGAGCTGCCCCTAATTTAATTTATTTGGCCTTTCATCCGTAGATTTCTGAGTCTTTACTGAAGTCAGCTGAATCACCCGAAGCTATATAGCCAATGGCAGAGGTTGTAATCCAACCCGTGTCTCTCCATCCTCTTCTAGACTACTTTGTCTCCACAAAAATGTTGTGGACTGCAGCCGTCAGGAGTGCAGGGAGATGCAGCCTCCAGCAAACAGGACTTCCATCAGGAATCAGCTAGATTTGTTTGGTCAGATCTAGATAAAATACTGCACGGTTGGACCCCTGGGCTGTGCAGTCGTGGTACCACGTGTAGACAGTAGGATTCAACACGTGCTTGAGTTCAGCAGGTCAGGCTAGTCCCACAACCACCTCTCAATTATTCCTGCACATCAAAGGGTAACTGTGTTGTTGACAGGAACTCTCTAGGCATGCAGATGACCACACTGACAGGTAGCCAGTGATGACTGTTTCTGCTTTCTGTGGCTGACTGCTGGAATATGAGTGAAAAGCAGCGTCACTGCAAAGAGTCCTGTCTTTGTCATCCCAGAAGATTAAGTAGTTTAAAAAGGCAAAGCCATTTTGTTTGAAGAAATGCAGCCAAGTTAAAAGAGTTAATAGAGGTGATTCTGGACAGCTTCCAGCAGCTGAGCTATTAATAAAAACAATGGAAAAATGCCAAACGTCTTCTGTTTTCTTTAGCAATTAGTATACGTTCCTTTAAACTTTCAGGCTGCAAACTCCACAGCTATCTGAGCAGAAGGACACTTTTATTTGAGGTCCCTTTTCAGAGCTGTCTCCAGTGCGTCAGTCATAAACTTTCTGGTTTTCTGTTGTTCCCTCTCTAAAAGAAAAGACTACTGAAGGATTTGTTTTTTATTTTCTTGCTCTTTCTTGTCCCTTTCCCCTCACCTCTTAACCATGTGCTGCATGGATGCCTAAAACCCCCTTTGGCTGTGCTGATGCTTTAAGGACTTCAAAGTGGGAAGCTTAAAGCGAAGTCAGCCTTTGGTGATAAACATGCGGGCAGAGCAAGTCTAGAGAAGCAGGATGCAGATAGTCACTTGTTAGGCATTCTCACTTGACTGAGTCTGTGAATGAAAGCACATGGTCAGACTCAGCAATAGTTTTTCTCTTGCTGTTTTTCTTTTTTTTTTTTTTTCTGCTGAGATAGCCCAGAGCAGTATACTGCAAGGATGTGTTAGACATCGAGCAATTCTCCACAGTGAAAGGAGTTAACCTGGACCAAACAGATGATGATTTCTATTCCAAGTTTTCCACAGGATCAGTGTCTATTCCATGGCAAAATGAGGTAAGGATGTATCATAGTAAAATTACTCCAATAAACCCCCTAACACAGATGGTTTAAGAGGAGTTGTATATTTCCAGTAACATATAGCTACTGGATAACTTGCCAGACTCTAATGCTTTCGTAAGTTACAAATGGCCTCTTTCAAGATCTATAATGTACCACAGATGTCAGGTTCAGGTGACTGTATCTGTTGGCTCTGCGTATTTGTGTAAATTGGCAAGGATCCTATTGTACTTCCTTCTCCTGGATTTCTACAGAGGTGTTTCGACAACTGCTCTCAGGAACTTCCATGGGATGGCTGGAAGTCCTAATGGGAGGCTCTTCCACTGGTGATCCTGATCTCACCCATTGTCTTGTACCTGCTGCAGCAGTTGGCTCTGGACCTTGAACTGCTCCAGAGTTTCCAGATCTGGGTCTGTGTTTCTGTTTGCTATCAAAACACAGCCCACAGTGGATTTCATAATCCAACTCTGGATCAAACAGCAGATCCACTTAGGCAGAAGGGTGCTAATAACTGGGATTTTATGAGTATACCTGTCTTTACCCAATATTCTCCACAGTGCTAAAGAAAAGAACAGAAAGCTTTACGGGGCAACTTCTAATAAGACTGATGTGCAAACATGCAGAGCAGACTCAGCCTCTCTTTTTCATACATCCTATTTGCCTTCTATAGCCACAAGCAGGAATTCCCCTGTTAACTCTCCTTACATATTGCTCAAGCTGCTGGTCCTGATCCTGACTTTGAACAACCTAGCACTGCTGGAACGTATTTAATGCAGATGTATAATTTCTTCTTTTCTTTCTTACTGTTTTCCACTAGATGATAGAAACAGAGTGTTTCAAAGAACTGAATGTATTTGGACCAAATGGTACTATTTCACCAGATCTAAACAAAAGCTACCCCCCAGAGCCACCCAAGAAAGGATTGCTACAGAGAATATTTAAACGACAGGTGAGATCTTTTACAACTCAGACAAGGGAACTCCGATAGATGCCCAGTGTCACAGCCATGTTCTGGTGGTATTTTCGCACATTGTTTCATGTCACACTTCCCTGCTAATTTCCTGACCCATACTGCATATCCCAGGTTTCCCATCTACCGCTTGTGATTTTTTTACCACCAGAAGTTCCAGTGTTGTTCATGAGCTCTGTTTCCAGCAGTTGAAAATGTCTTACCCAACCTGTTTTTCAGTGGTATGCTGAAATGCCTTTTGAAATGGTTATATGGTTTTAGTAAGTTCCTTGTGAAAAGCCTTGATTTATGTGTTTTTTAAAAAAAAAAAAAGAAAATGCAAATTTTGAGTGAGGTAGTCACGGCATGAAACCAAGATACTGGAGAAGAGAGCAGACCAGATAATACGTGATGTACAGCTGTCATGAGGCACCATGGCACTAATCTAAATAATTTTCACATGCAAATCTAAATAACGTTCTTAGACCAATCTATTTCTGTAGGGTTAAAACAACGCCTGAGCATTGGCAGGTATCCTTTGTATTAGTCAGATTTAGCACATACTGACATTTTGGAGTGAATTGATTTGACTCCTGGAGCTTGAGTGAGTCTTTTTTGCTGCATTCCTCAAGAACTGCCATGGTCCTAACTGACCTAAAGAGAATACAGGTAAGAAAGTGAAGAATATTTTACATCCAGAGATCTTCAAAGAAAAATCTTGCAGTCCAGTCAGTATGTTATCACCAGAAAATGAACAATGTTGGACTAAAAGAAAGCATGGCGTATTTTGGGAATCTAATTGTCATTGTCTTCCTCTTTCTACAGCATCAGAACAATTCAAAGAGTTCTCCAAATTCGAAGGCCAGTTTAAATCACCACATAAATTCAAATCACGTAAGTTCAAACTCCACTGGAAGCAGCTAGTTCCAACTCAGTTTTATGAAACAACATGTTGCATCCTTCCACTATAATCTATGGAGCTTCTATGGATGAGAGAGCCTCCACCGTTGAGTGAAAAAAAAAGGGATCTCCCAAAATGGAGATTTTCTACCCATTCCTTCCAGTGGAGCCTCACATTTTAAGAAGAATTTTCCACTCAGGTCTGTTTTTGGAGGTGGCACTCAAGACTGTGTGAATCAAATTTGTCTATTTAGAACATTGCAATAGAAATTCAATGAACATGACTACTTGCACGTATTTAAATAGCATCATACTAGAACTGAATTTTGTCTTTATTATTTTTAAAGAAAAGTTTTGTAAATTTCTCTATTGTCTCAGTTTACATTTTGTACATTTGTATTTAAATGAAAGTCAGACTTTGGAGGTGTATATTTTCCAAGCAGCAGCTGTAAAGCCATGTGTTTTAAGACATTTTTTTAAAAGAAAAAAAATGTGACTCAAGACTTCCAGAGCCTCAAACGAGAAATCATTCTTTTTAGTAATTCTAGAAAATTATTCATAAATCACTTTATCAGACTGGGTTTTATTGACATGCATTTTTATGGAACAGTTTATTCTTAATTATTTTACATCTGTATATTTGGTTTACAGCAACACTGCATACATTTCTTCTCTTCATTAGTTTGTACTGTCTCGCATTAAATGCTAAAAGACAAGATTTTGATGCATTCAAGAATGCTACTTGCTACGCCTGAGGTTTGTGATGTCGTGGGACCAGCACAGCTGAGATTTGCACTTACTTATGTTGTTAGCTCATCAAAACCTTTTTGGTTAGAAAGGGAACCATATTTTAAGCCCTTCTCCTTTACTAGTTTTTGTGCTGTTTCTAATGACAGCAGGAACACAACTGAGTGAGAGGTGACCAGGAAAATTTATTTTTCAAGAACTTGAAATTTGCTGAAATGAGAGCAAAACTCAAAGTGTTCTCCATGCTGCAGTCAGAAGTCCAAGACCTTTCCACAAGTTGCTCCTATCAAAGAGGTAGCAAGAGAGAGATTCAATAGTCTGGTTTGTGCTGACCATGAGATTCATGACAGCTTTCTAGAGCTGAGCTGTGAGGGCCTGGAGGCTCAGAGCGGGATCCAAGCTGCTTTTGAGCAGTAGCAGAACCTGTAGGTTGCGTCTGCACTTAGAGTACTTCCATGGGTCATGTCAAATACAACATGACTCTTCTCCTCAATTAGGTCCTCAACTTAATTGAATGAAATATCAGTTAATGAAGTGTCAGTTATGAAATAATGCCTCCCACTTTTGGTTCCATCATTCTTTGTCCAGGATCCTTTAACTATCAATGAAAACGTTGTTCCCACTAATAGAAATTAGGATTGGTCAGAATCAGTAGCAGTACCTCAGGCGTCGGAATCATGCTTTTCTCAAGTATGCCACTATCTACTACTATGAAGAACACCAGATCAAAACCATGGTTACTTCCCTTCAACAGGAATCAGAAAACCTTTGTCCCCCCAGGTGCAGACAGAATCTCTACAGCCCAACACGATCCGTAAAACGTGTTGGTTCACCATGCTCTTTACAATGTTGGCTAGAGTATGCTGACGATTTTACACCTTTGGGTCATCAGGAATATCTGAAGGTCTGGTGTGTCTAAAACCCTGTTAGCTAGTATTGGAGTTATCCCAGGGTACAAGGAAGCACTGTTCCAGTGGAAGTCTTAGTAGCCAAAATTTATTAAGACTACCATGTGCATCTAGCCAATGCAGAGGGGAAAAAAAGATGCAGGTTAGTAGTGGCAAGTCTCTGGATGAGATAGACACAGGAATTACATAAAAACATCTGGAGGTTATGAGGGAGAGAGACAGAACAGGGACAGGATTTGCATAAAGCAGCTGACAGAGAAAAAGCAAGAAAAGGACATGAGGCTTTGGCGCCTTTATCAGGAGTAAAATACATTAGGATGCAAGTCCACACCATTTCAATAGCCTTCAGTTTTCCTGGTCATTAGTAGACATGTGGTGAAGCAGTGCAAGTGTGCCGTAATATCACCAAGAAGTTGTTCCTCTTTTTCCTTCAGTTCAGTGTGGTCCAGAAACTCCTGTACTGGTGGTGCTCAGGGAGAGCTTCAGCCACTCTCCCATGTCAGAGGATGGCATTGCAGATCTTATAGAAGATGCAAGATTTTAGAGAGACAGTAATAGATGAGGATTTTGAGTAATCTTCTCTCTCCGTATCAGCTGTGAACTAAATCTGTAATAGTTTCTGCTTCCTGACAGGAGGGGAATGAAATATTGTAGAGGTGAAAGCCACTATGCACCAATAGGGCTATTACCTCCAGTTTTGTTCTCATGGCCTGACGTAAAGCTACCTAAGTCAACGCTGATCAGTCACTTGAGCACACTCTGGATGAAGACATCCTTGCTCTGGGAGGTTTTCACAGGACTTCTTCAATGACATGCGGGATTTCACGTGATACCAAGAAATGTGGGTGAGAAGTGGAGGAACAGATCTTAGCCAGATAACTGATGCGTATCAATGTACCTGAGACAAGGCAAGACACACATACTTCTTCTTAGAGAGCTGCAAATGTTGTGCAACTCCAATCTGTTTCTATCACTCTATCACCTTCTAACAGTATGGTATAGAATAAGTTTGTGCACCCTCAGTTGATTTCATCCCCTACATTGATGCTAGGGGAACAGGGTGCTGGATTTGGGGACAGAGTGAAAAACTAAGCTCTTTTGTTCCACTACTGCCATTGTATCACTTTGCAGCAACAGACAAGCATATCCCACATCAGAAAAATGTGAGTGATAATATCTGCCTACCACCATGAGGAAGGAAAAAAAGACAGTTGGGGGAAGGCTTAGCCCATTAATATTTCATTGGATAAATCTGATAAAACTGCAGCTGTTGGCCCAAGGGCTTCATCTCCTACGAGTTACCAATTTAGCATATGAAGACTAAATTTTCTTTCTTTACCATCTCCCACTTGGGAAATAAAATCCTAATAACAACAAACCCGTTACTGAAAGCTGGTGAACAAACTGCAAATATAGATTGTAGATGGTCTTATACCTCTTAGATGCTATCAGCCTTAACTAGCGGTGGATGACTTTTTTATGACGACAGTGAACGAGAGCGTGTGCCTTCTCCTGCTCTCCTTTCGGCTGGGACAGTTTCTTACTCAGCGCCTCTAAGACTTGAGCAGCAGAGACACAGAGACAGTGCAAAGCACTCAAATGACGAGAGCTGCATTCACTGAGTCCTGACACTTGGAGGACATTATGCTAGGGTTCGATGTCCTGAATCCTCAAGGCAGTATGGAAGAAGGATGCTTATGCACAGCTGAAGCATCAAGCCTGGGATGAAGCCCCTTGGAAGCAGTCAGTGAGTAAGGGGAGAGACAGAAAACAAGACCGGTTGAGGGAGATTTCATGCCGCGTCCCTAAAGTGTTGCTGTCCTGTCTGAAAAACTTTAAACAGTATTACGATGCTGGGCCAACAGAACTGTTGTACTCTTTCAGTATCCAAGCCCTGAAAGTTTCAATCAGTATCATACACGCCTAGTGATAATGAACAGTTCTAGGAATCTTCTAGTCAGGGTTTGCCTACAACAACAAAACCTGCAGGATTTTCTTCTTTATTACTTCTTTCTTTATTTTTTTAATTATTCAGCTCACCTCACACTCAGGGCTGGAGTAGGACCACAGTCCTCTCACTTCCACTGTGTGACCAGGTGCAATCTGAGCCCAGAACTCAGGGCTGAAGCCCTGCCAAGGCAGTGCCCTGCACAGCCAGGCTTCCACAGACACTTGGCATTTGGCTCTCTGGAGCCAAATCTAAAAAACACTGGGAGCCGTGGGTGTTCAGGAGCTCTGAAAAAAAAAAAAAAATACTTATAGTCTCATCATACAACCTTGGAGAGCATTTGCAATGGGATTTTTAGCATTTTGATTCCAAGTGAATAGTTTTTGAGGTGGGTTTGCACATAACAAAGGAGCAGAAAGGAGTAGTTCTTTAATAGCTTTCCAGACTGATTAATTTTCTGTATCTCCTTTCCATTACAAATTCTTCCCCAAAAATGCATATGTTCAGATCTGATTGCTTGTTTTAAATAGACAGATGAGCAAGTTTAGCTCTTTTTCAGAATCAAATCTTTTGCAATCTGATCCTGAATTGTGCAAGCATGTTTTTTATTTTTAAATCTTTACTGAGTAGTCTGATGAACACTAATTAGTTTACAAGCTTTTATGATTCAGATGTTTGCTATTCATTTTCTACAGTGTCTCGAGGTTCACTTAAGTCTTGTAGCATATTTTCCCACTCTCTGGTTGAATGAGAAGCTTTTTTAAACAAAAGGATAATGAGGGAAAAAATAACAAATAATAAACTCTTACATATGCACTCTTGACCTGGATTATCTAAAAAAAAAGATTTTTTACAAGAATGGCCATGACTTAGATGTTGTTGCTGAACGAAAACCTGCTTCAGACCCGGACAGGTGTGAAGATAATCAAACCAAACAGGTACTAGAGATCAAACTGAGTGTTAGGGAGCTGCAGAATTCAATATCACAGTGTTCATCTGGCCTTGGTGATTAGCGATATCTGGTAACTGGCAGCTCAGAGACAATACCAGCTTATCCATAAAAACAGTTTGATACCATCTCAATTTGCGGCCATCCCCTCCCCCAGAAACTACGGCTAAGGGTGCCATCAGCAGTAGGGAATCAAACTTGGCTGACCCAGTAAAGTGTCTGATTCGAAGAAACTGATTCTTAATGTCGTTCAACCAGACTTCAGGATCCAGCTTGAATTCTTTGCGTCAGCTGTCAAAGCTTTGCCTTTCAAATCCAGTTGCTGTTGATCTTTTTCAGTAGAGATGCCTCAGCTAAAAAGAAAACCAGGAAACCACTCTGTAATACTAATAAAACCATGGGCAGGACAAGGAAGACAGACGAGCTCTGAGCTCTGGAGGACAGTGAAAACTACCAGAATGTGTGTATCTTCAGCAGGTGTCCAATGGCAGTTGTTACCACACATTGCTGCATGTTCTTCCTTGGTTCATCACACATTGCTCACAGTTTTCGAGTAACCTGGAAACTGCACACACAAGGTCGTATTAAGCATAGGGTCTGGCCCGTGGCTCAAAGACAACGTTGCCTCTATGAGGGTCAGATGGAAGAGGTTGACGAGGCAAGTAGGTATCCGCTCAGCCTGCATGAACAGCCATCACACAGGTCTCTGTTCCCATCTGTCTGCGCCTTTGTCAGAAGTTCCCGATGTAGGCTTTTCTGGAAGAGCAATAACTGCACACCCTGATAGCACAGCTGCTTCTTCTTACAGACAGCCATGGAACGGGTGGCTGCAGGACGTGACTTCATTGTGGACAAGATATGGGTGGTTTAATCTCTGCTCCACCGCTAGTTGTGATTTTTTTTTTCAACTCGTATTTGTAATACTCACTTGTTAAGCCTCTCGGTGCAGAGATCATTCATCAGGGGTCTCTA